TTCCGGTAAATCAGCCACGTGGCTGATTCAAGCTCCCTAGCTCATTTTTGCTACCTTTTCGGTGAATAAGATTCCCGATTTTAATGCATTTCAAATGGCGCAAGAGTTAGGGAAACCATTACAAAGCCGCTCTAGAATTCGGAATTCGATTAATTACAGTCGAAAAATAAGAGAAAAATTAATACCTTTTCGTGAACTCTCTTTTTTATTTCGCGTATCTACCTCATCCGTCCTCTCTCGCATGTACGCTACCTTCCTATAGTCTCTCTCTCTCGGATTCGTGTTCCCCTCGTGGATAATACCTTTGCTTCTCTCTATCAGCTTTGGATTGGGATCGCTTTCTTTTTTTTTATCCTTAAAATTATTATTTACATCTTTCGAGTCTTTTTGGAGTTTAATGGATCATTTTAGAGTATTTAAAATTATTTTGAGTCATATTGATGTAATTTTGTAGTTGTACGAATTTACGATTTGTATTAATATCGGCAATAGCGAAACACGTCAGTATCATTATGCTTATTATTCAATATCGACCTTACCTATCCCGTTTACAATTTAAGACATTGGTTTATTGGTTTCTCGATCGATGATTGGCTTTGTTAATTGATGTTCTCGTCCACGGATCCACCCCTCTCTCCACGACCCGCACACTGAGCAGGCGAGTAAATCCCGTACCCTCGTAATCCACATTTCTGCGTATGGTTTGCGATATGTTTCTTGTCGTTATTGGATTTTCGGGGACAATCAGTATTTAGTTTTTAAGAAAATACGGTTCCGGTTGCGGTTTGTCGATTCCGCGTTGCTAAAAATCGGCTGGCGCCCTAAATACACGAAGTAAGGATTGGATGAGCTGCTGATTGTTCCCGGAGTCCAGTTTTAGCGTTAGGGTTTTTGGCGTTTCAGACTTGTCGGAATGGTGGAAGTGCACACAAAAATTTCACTTCGTCTGGGCTCAAATGATCCATGATGAAAACTGACGCTATGTTAGAGCACTCAACGTTTAAAAACGCCTCAGGAATGTTCTAGAATAGTGATGATATATAATTGCAGCCAATCCGAGGAGATTCTCTATCCACTCCCTCACTCAGCTCGTTGTTATGAAATTACGCAGCACCTGCAGAAGTAAACACTTCCAAGAATTGTTTTAGTACAATCCAGAATATTGCGTAGGATGATGCAATCGAATTCTATAAAAAATCGCTAGATTTTCCTCGAGAGCAATCACTCGCAGTCTGAACAGTCCAGTGTGAAGTGTACTCTCTTCAAGCCACCATACGCATGGAATAAATTGTCAACCAAGTCCAAACAATCTAATACATGACTCATCGACAACTTTCTTGGCCTACCCATGGGAATCCGGCAAAACATCGTGCTCTGAAGTTTCACGAGTCATCAAAGAAATCGCTAAGAACGTAACTAACCTCTACGTAAAAGGATTGCAGAAAAAACAGTGGCTTCAAAAGATCCTCGGAAATTCAAAAACAGTGATGGACTTGGAAAATTTGGGCTGTCCGAAATTGGCAGACTTGGAGCTTCCGAAATGTGCGAATTCCCATAACGATTGTGAAACAATTCCATTCGTGTGTGCTCTTGGAAACGTGAAAAATTTGAGAATTTGGTACATGCAAAATCAAAATGTCAGTCTGCATAGATCCCTGGACATTTTCTGTAACCTGAAAAGTCTCAAAGAAATGAGCACCCGGGACATTTCCGCCTTCCAGAAGAAATTTCTGTTGACGTTCGCCTCGCAGAGCATCGAGAATGTATGGGATAGATTGGCTGAGAACTTGCAAAAGGACAAGGATATTGCAAATTGCCGTCGATGTCATCTGCATCATTCATCCAGGACACCACCAACTATAAAGAACTGTTTCTTATGTAAATCTTCCAAGGAAAGGAAGATTATAAGAAGGAAATAACTAAAATATTTCTCATTTACTAATCAACTGTCAAGAAACAATTACATGAGAAATGTAATATTTACCATTAATTGTTCAAAATAAAAAAATATATTACATATATACTTTGTGTTATATTTCGTTCATTATCCTTTTGTCCTCAAGAGAATCATGTTAGTAAATAAGAATCAAAAATCCCGCGAATGGAATCATATGAAGAGCTCTGTATTGCCGACTGCTGAACTCATCTCTACCCCAATAATTTCTTCATAATTCAAAATTCATATCCCACTTACATCATACTTCTCGACAACCACCTATGATAAAGAACTGTTCTGTGTGTAAATTTATAAAAAGAATAAACAATGAGTAAAAAAATGCATCATTTCCAATGTAATGTTGAAGATTAAAAAATATATCATATTTTAAATGAAAAATAGATTTTGTGTATCTCCTTTTTATCCTTGAGAACATTGCATGACGAATTAGCATGTATCATTCAAAATGTATCTTTCGGAAAATGAAAATTTAGCAATTAAAGATCAGAATGTAACTTTCAGAAGATCAGAGTGCAACATTCAGAACTTGAAAAATCCCGCAGGCAGATTCACATCAGAGCTCTCTACTAGAGAACTCCACATTACCGACTGCCGGAATCACTTGCACTAGAGAAAACCCAAATTTCCTGCCAAACACGAGTAATCCCCACCTCTATGTGATGTCATCCTCACGAAAACTGCATGTCCACGACTGCCTCCCCCCTCCACGCCGCGCATCGTCCCTCCTTACCGCGACCCCCTCACCCACATTTGATGTCGAACCGACACCTCCCCCCTCGCCGTGCTCTCCTCGCCCACAACCGATCTCCGTGCGCCACCTCCCCCCTTCCACCACCCGCTCCTCCACCTTTCTCACGCCCCCCTCGCCCATCGACCAGACCCCCCTCCCCNCCCCCCCCCCCCTGTAGCGCCACGCTACATCCACACTCACGTGTCAATACACGGACACAACAACGCGTGCAGTTGAGACGACTGGACATCAGTGACATCATCGCTCTCGGTCACTGAACCGTCTAATGTATACTTCTCACTCGCACCTATTGTAACGCGTTTCCGAATTCTCGCCTTTTGCGAATATTATATTCTGTCTGGCGCTAACCGCCTATTACTCTACAAGTCGACCACCCGACTTGCTCTCTACTTTTGTATATATATTTCTGGACGCGATTGAACAAACCACAATTAAGACAAAAAAAAAAAAAAAAAAAAA